CAGACAGAGCGGATGGGTCCTGCCCGCCTGTGGAGTGGGCGGAGGCGCCCTGCATCGGCTTCCCCTGAGACCGCGTGCTCTGTCCCTCCTCCTCCCCCGGGCCTTTCTGTGCTGGCTTCTCGTCAGCCATTGATCACGGTTAACCTGCTGCTTTTTAAGACCAGTCTTCATGTTCCTCAGAGCCAACGGCCCTCTCTCTTCCCGTTCACAGCAAAGCACCCCGAGAGGCTTGTGGTGCGCGATTCACTGGCGTAGCCCGTGCTTCTCCATCTGCTCCCTGCTCCCTGTTCCCCGCTCCCCGCTCTCTGCTCCCCGCTCTTTGCTCCCCACTGCCTCTGCTCCCCGCTGCCTCTGCTCCCTGCTCCCTGCTGCTTCTGCTCCCTGCACCTCTGCTCCTTGGGTTCATGTGCTGAATTGATGCAAGCCTCCCTGCTTCGGGCGTTACACACACACACACACACACACACACACTCACACACACTCACACACACTCACACACACTCACACTCACACACTTTAAAAGCAGTGTGTCTTCCGCGGGCACCTCGGCTCCAGTACACCCAGCACTGTGCTTGTCTCCAAAGCGTATCCTTCGCTTCTGTCCCCGTTCCAGTGACAGGTTCCAGTGACAGGTACCACCGTCCACCGTTTGTTCAGAGCAGAGACGTGGACTCATCGTGATGCATCAGGTCCTGCCGGTTGCCCAGCAACCTCGTGCATCTTTCTCAGAATTTCTCTCCTTGTCTCGGTCTCGCCGCAGCCGCTGCTGGTCAGGCTGTCTTCTCTTCCTAGATTTTGCAGACACTTCCTGCCTGGATTGTCCTCCCTCCTGTCTGACGCTCCGTCTCATGCCCTCTCCATGCATAGTCAGAACGATCTTTGGGAAAAACAGAGCGGATCACGACACTTTCCCAGGGCCCTCCGCGTCCTGACGTGGGGTACGCGGCTTGCGCCCCGGCTCTGCGGCTCACCCCTTCCGAGCGCGCCACGTCCGCTCCCGAGCCTGCTTCGTCCGGCCCCGCCTTCGTCTTCACTGCGCTTGTTCCTCCGTCTCTCTGACCAGTTTGGAAGAGTCTGGTTCTTTACACGGCCTCACTGGCCGTCGGGCTAAGATGGCACTTTGGTGTCGCAATTAACTCTCACGGTGAGCACTGGAAACACTTACCCCCTTTAATACTTTGTTTTCCAACTTTATTTCAGAAAAGACTTATGTCACGCCCAGACGATGGTCGATGAACTGCTGTCCTCTCGTTCTGATTCGGATCCCGACTGCGAACTAGACAGAGCTGTGGCCCAGATCAGCGTGGACCTGGTGGACGACTACCCGGCTTCCGACCCGCGCTGGGCCGAGTCCGTCCCCGAGGGTAAGCGCACGCTGACTGCTCCTAGGGCGTCGTCTGTTTGGAGAATGCTCTAGTTCCTTTATTAAAGCGTCTCTGAGAGCACGTTTTTTAATTTCTGAAGCAGTTTACTATTAATTCAGTTTAAAAGGTTGAAATTTTTCTCAGTACTAGATTTCGAAAAGGGCTCAGAACAGATTTCTGGGATAGACTGGACACTGAGGGACGATTGGAGCAAACCTTGCTTGTTCTGACGGAAGCAGATCGATTAGCCCTACTTAGCCGCTTCGCCTTTTTGTGTGGAAAAGCAAAGTCGTGGCATAGGTAGTGTGTGGCACTTACTAGCACGATTAAATGATGGTCGGCATCATCCCTGTATTTGGCTAGTAGAAACTGTACGTTTGCCCAAGAGCTGCAGTGAGCGACTCTCAGCACGTAGGGCGGGCATGTCACGTCTTGCCGCCTGACACTGTCCTTTGTCCCCGTGGCTCTCCTGCATTTCCACTGCAGCACAGGGGCCCCCGGGGGAACTCTCGAACATCACTATGTCAGCCTGATTTCCTACTTGACAAGTTTGCTAAGCCTTATTAGACATTTAGGAAAAACTGAGTATTGACTTTCCTTGACCATTTCTTTTGAGCCGTCAAGCCTATTGTGATACAAATGATTACACTGATGACACATTTTGTGTTTTGAATGAATACCGTATGAATTGTATCAAGCTCCCAAAATTTTTCTCTAAATTTTTTTAACGCTGGGCAATGTTATAAATAATTTCCTTAAAAGGTTGGTATTTTCATTTTGTGTAGATTTTTCTTAACTTTTTGTTTCATTACTGTGTTTGGACAGAAGCACCTGGGTTTAGCAACACATCCCTGATCATTCTTCACCAGCTGGAAGACAAGATGAAGGCCCATTCCTTCCTCATGGACTTCATCCGCCAAGTAGGCATGCCGGTCGCCGTGAGCAGGGGAGCAGGGCACGGGCTCTGCTGTCCCTTTGTCTGCTCTCCAGGGCAGTGAGATGTCCCTCTTCTTACTCTGAGGTGTTTCACTGGGTAGGGGATGACCAGTGTTTTGCATTTTCTTTGCTGACCTTAAAGTAAATACGTTCAGGGCTGTGCGGAGGACTGGTACTCCAAGTATAAAAGTCCCATTGAAAATCAGATAAAAAGAAGAAAAATGGCGTGTCAGCAGAAACGACGTTTTAGCTTTTCTTGTAACATCTTGCGGTGGCCTGCTTTTCATTCAGATTTCACGTGTGCTTTTACATAAAACTTAAGTTTTCGTGAGCTGATTTTGTATTATTAGAAAGAAGAAGAATGACGTGATAAAAACAAGATTTTTATGTGTGGATTTTTAATTTTGAAGTGCCATTAGAAGCACGTTCTCATTTAAAGAAATATCCCTGTTCTTTTTCAACTGTAGTTGACATACGATACCAGTTTCAGGGGTACAGCAAAGTGGTCAGAGTTTATATAACTTACGAAGCGACCCCTCTGGTGAGTCCAGCACTCACTCGACACCATAGTTATTACAACTTTATTGACTCTGCTCCCCGTGCTGTGCTGTGCATCCCCGCAGCTGCTTTTATGACTGACAGTTTGTGCTTCTCAATCCCTTTTCCTTTGTCCCCCATCCCCCAAGGCCTCTCCCATCTGGCGACCATCGGTTCGTTCTGTGTCTGTGAGACTTTCATTTTTTTGTTGTTCATTTATTTTGTTGTTTAGGTTCCACATGTAAGGGAAATTACATGGCATTTGTCTTTCTCTGTCTGACTTGTGTTACTTAGCATGATACCCGCTATGTCCATCCTTGTCGTTGCAAATGTAAGATGTTTCTCTCTTTCTCGTTGCTGAGTAACAGTCCATTGTATTTGTGTACCACTTCTTTGTCCAGGCGTCTGTTGGTGGACACTGAGGCTGCTTCCATATCTTGGTTATGGTGAATAGTGCTGCAGTGAACACGAGGTGCATCTGTCTTTTCGATTCAGTGTTTTGGATTTTTTCGTATAAATAACCCAGAAGTAGAATTGCTAGGTCATAAGGTAGTTTAGTCTTAATTTTTCGATGAGCCTCCAGACTGTCTTCCATAGTGGCTGCACCAGTTTCCAGTCCCACCAACAGTGCATGAGGGTTCCCTTTTCTCCACATCCTTGCCAGTTCTTATTTTTTGATTTTCGATTTTTTGATTATTGATGATAGCCATTCTGACAGGCGTGAGGCGACATCTCACCGTGGTTTGAATTTGCATTTCTCTGATGGTGAGTGACCTTGATCATCTTGTCCTTTGGCCATTGGCCATCCGTGTGTCCTCTTTGGAGAAGTGTCTATTCAGATCCTCTGCCCATTTTGTAATTGGATTGTTTGGTTTTTTGGTGTTAAGTTGTATAAATGATTTATATATTTTAGATAAAAACCCCTTATCAGGTGTATCGTTTGTGAATATCTCCTGCCACTCACTAGTTTTACTCTTTGTTTTGTCGATGGTTTCCTTTCCTGTGTAAAACATTTTAGTTTGACGTACTGCAATTTTTTACTTTTTCTTTTGTTTTCCTTGCCTGAGGTGACATGTCAGAAAAAATAGTACTAAGAGCAAAATCAGAGTTTACTGCCCGTGTTTTCTTCTAGGAGTTTTATGTTTGGGTCTTACGTTTAAGTCGCTAATCCGTTTTGCGTTTATTCTCATATATGCTGTAAGAAGGTGGTCCGGTTTCATTGTTTTTGCACGATCTGTCCCGTTTTCCCATCACCATTTATTGACGAGACTGTCTTCACCCATTGCGTCTTCTCATCTCCCTTTTCATAGACGAATTGATCGTGTAGATGAGGTTTATTTCTGGGCGCTCTGTTCGGTTCCATTGATCTGCGCGCCTGATTTTATGTCATCGCCATGCTGTTTGATGACTGTGGCCCTGTGGAGTTTGACGTCAGGCAGCGTGATGCGTCCCACTTTGTTCTTCTCCAGGCCGCCGTGGCTGGTGGGGCCTGAGGTCCCCAGAGGGCTCGCCCCGCTTACGCAGAGCCGAAACGAGAGCACGTTCTGGCTGTAGACAGTGTAGGACACAGGTGACGCCTCTGTGCCAGCAGCAGTGGCTCCCAGGCATCTTACATATGCAGGGGGATGGATTTTGTTCCATTTTTGCTTATTTTTTCCAAAGTCAGTAATGCCTTCGTGTTGCAGAGCTTCTGGTCAGCGCCGCCCAGTAGGATTCCTGTGGCGACAAGAGTGCTCTGTGTCCGTGTCATGGCTGCGGCAGCCACTGGTCACATGGTGCAGAATGGGCTGGTGCAGCCGAGGAACAAAATTTTTTTAAGTTTAATTTTAATGAACTTAAATTTAAATCTCCACCTTGGTGGATGGTGGCCAGCTCACGGGACCGCGCAGAGCTGCTCCCAGTGAAGAATGCGCAGTGACGACACTCAGGGAGCGTGTGCAGCTGGACACCTGCGCCCGCGAGCCTCCGGGCTCGGCTCCGGCCGGGGCGGGAGGGCCCAGCCTCGAGCTGTCCGGTGCTGGGGCAGCTGTGACCTCACATTTGGCCTGGGGAAGTGGAGACAGGGGCTCCTGTGAGCCTGCTCATCATGTGGCATGTGACGTGAGCACGCGGTCTCCGTCATGGCGGTGCAGCGACCCCGAGGCACGCGAACCAGTACGGCAGGCAGGCACCTGGCGCCTGGGCAGGGAACGTGGCTCCAGGCCTCGGGATGGTCGGCACGGAGTGACCATCAGGGTGGAGGCAGGTGCTGTTAAAGAGCATCAGGGCACAGGCGTCGGCGTGTCCCACAGTCAGGTAACGAGGGTGGTTTACCTGTGCTGTCAGACACGGAGCGACCCGAGTGCCGCAGGAGCACGGGGCTCCAGGAGGCGCCCCGGGAAGGGCGGGCGGGCCGCAGACGCGAACTCTGGGCCGCTGACACGACCTCTGGGCCGCTGCGCTTCCGACCGCGTGTTTGTCACTGTGTCGGTAGGAATTCTGTGGGGATTCGGAGTGTTGTTTTTTTGTTTGTTCTCTGTGTACTTTTCTGTACTTAAAATAATTCTCAATATATAAAAATCAGGTCACTTTTTGACGAGATGGATTCTGCTTAAAATGGGAGAGTTATTACTTGCGTCTGTCTCTCGGCTTCGTTGAAGTTCAGGTTGTTGTGACACTTGACCAGGTAGGGAGCTTACGAGAGCCCCTGGCACCAGTCACAGCCCAGGAACGGCCTGTGGCCGTGGAGGAGGCAGAGGATTGGGCTCCCCAGTCCCTGCCCCAGGCTTTGGGGTCCTGGGAACCAGCCGTGGGAGATGGAGACTACGAGGTACTTGGCGGTGGGGGGCCGCCACGCCGACGAGACAGCAGCAGCGGCTCTGTGTGACTTGGTCTTCCTAGAGGCTGTCCGCATTTCTTACCGGCGCGTGTGCACGTATGTGTGCGTGTGTGAACAGCCCTGGGGGAGAGCTGGCCGGTGGCCCTGCGCCAGTGTGCGTCCCACGGGCACACGGCTGCGCCGTGCGTGTCACTAACACCTCCCAGGAGCTCGTGCGTGCATCTCCCCGCAGGTCGGCCTGTTCGCGCGTCTGGGCACTCTGCCGGTGAGGGGGACGCCCATGGCCACGCGGCTGCTGCTGTGCGAGCACGCGGAGAAGCTGTCGGCCGCCATCGTCCTGAAGAACCACCATTCGCGGCTGCCTGACCTGGTGAACACGGCGCTGCTGATGGCTCTGAGCAGGAGGGACCATGAGGTCCCCCCTAGCCTGACCCCTGCAGATGTCTTCTTCAGAGAGGTGAGCAAGTCCGTCTCGTCCCCCAGTGCAGCTTCCCCGGAGCCTGCAGTGACTTGCCGACTGTGGCCAAGCAGGGACGAGACTGAGGACACAAGTTCCCGCTGAGTAGATTCTGTGTCGCTCGTTCACCACATCCCTGTAACGGAAAAGCCCCCCCCGCCCCCCGTGGGCCAGGCCTCACGGTGGCTCCTGCAGCCCTGGGCAATGTGCGTCCCCTGTTGGTCCCCTCACTCCTGCCCACACCGTTGTAGACAGTCCCTTCTCTAAACTCCTCAGTGACCTGCTAGGATCCTGCTGGCCACCTCCTTCTTAAAATCAGATTTATCTTTAGAGGGAAAGGGAAACCTGTGTATTTCGGAAGGCAAGAAGGTGAAGATGTGGGCCAGCTGGTGGCAGCGCACGCTGCAGCATCATGCCCAGCTCGGGGACCCGGCCGATGCCTCCCGACCTGGTGACGGGGCAGGGAGACCGCACACTGCGCACGAGAGAGGCTGACTGTCTCACCGGAGCCGGCGGCACTCAGCGCACGGTGTCGGCCATGCCCGCGGCTGCCCCTGCAGTCCCCACCTGGGCTGTCCTGTCCCTTGGTGCCATTGTCCCGGTTTAGAAACAGCGCTCGCTCTTCTCCCAGCTGAGCGAAATCGGGACTTGTTTTCTGCATCCGGGGAACTTTGAACTCTATTTGGGTCTCTAGTTTTATTTCCTCCATCTTACAGTCTGCCTGTGATCTAGCATTTGACAGGCCGTGCCAAGAAGTCTCTTTTTTGCTTAATTTTTGATGTGACATAACCTAAAAATAATCGAAGACACTGAACTGTGTTCCGTTTTTCTGTGGATTCTGTGAACGTAGTTCGGTGAATACTTTGTTTTCACACAGTCGTCCTTTAATATGTGCAGGGGATTGGTTCAGACCGCCCCCCCACAGCATGGAAATTTCGTAGATGCTCAGGTCCCTTATACAAAACTACGTGGTATTTGCTTATAACCTGTGCGTATCCCCCACGTACTTTAAATCACCTCTAGATCACTTACGGTAGTGCTGTAACTACGTCAGCATCTAGTGCGGTATGTGCTGTGTGAATGGCCGTTACACTGTTGTTCAGGGAATAACGACAGAAAGGTGTGTAGCAGGCAGCACAGACACAGTGCAGCCTATGTAACCACTGTGAGCCTGAACACATAGCACGTGGCAGCAACAATGTGGCATTTTTTTCCCTGAATATTTTGGCTCTGCAGTGGTTGAGGGCCGGCTGTACTTGATGTTTAAATAAAAAGTCTACCTGGCAACAGCCCAGAATCCGCTTGCCTGTCGGGCGTTACCCGGACAGGCTCACTTTTCTCGCTTTTTCACTCGTTTGCACCACTCACTGTCGGCTTCTGACTGGTGAGCCGTGGGCGCGACCTGAGCGCTGTCGAGTGGGGTGCGGTCGCCGCCCGTCGCCGTGGCTCCGGTCGTAGGTGGCTGACTTCTCTCCGCCCCTCAGGTGTCCCAGGTAGACACCATCTGCGAGTGCCTGCTGGAGCACGAGGAGCAGGTGCTGAGGGGCACGGCGCTGGACGCGGCCGAGTGGGCCGAGGTGGTGGTCGACGTGAACAACATCCTCAAGGTAGCGGGGCCCGGGCAGGGGACGCTGCGTGCCTGCTCTGGCACCACAGTGCGTGAGCGGGCAGCCGCTCGCTGATGCCGAAAAAAATTGGGCACGTGTCAGTGGCTTTTTCAATCCCCTAACAGCCGTTCGGGTGGTTTGCCTTGTGCGCGTTAGCGGAGCCTGTAACCCTGAGTTCCGTTTGGTGGAATAAGCCTTTTTTCCGGGGAAGGATACATTGCAAATGGAACGGTCTGAATAAGTTTCTGTTTTTTAATTACTCGAAAGCTCACTACTTATATTTATTGAGTAAAATGTTCCATTTAGCTTTAGCTGGTGTGCTTTATGATAACGACATTCCCACTTGGTTACTGTCGTTTTCCAGAATTGAAGTTAAACAAATTTCAAATGCAAAGAGCATCAAAAGTCATGCCCCAGACCTGCGTCGAGTGTTCTCTCGTATGATAGACTGATGTTCACATTATCTTCAGAATTCTGGGGGGAGATGGTCATCGCTCTCCGTGTGGTAACGGTGACGCATGTCATTGTCCCAGGACATGCTGCAGGCTGCCAGTCATTATCGACAGAACAGACAGTCCTTGTACAGAAGGGAAGAACCTGGGGGGAAGGAGCCCGAGTACATTCCGTGGACAGGTGAGGTCGCCAGCACCGAGTCCAAATACTGATTTATTCGCTGTTCGAATTACATTTCTAGTGAGCCCTCGATCTGGGAGGTGTGTGATTCCGCTAGCGCATATTTGCAGGCTAAATGGAAAATAACTTAAGTGCCATCTCCAAAACAAGCAATTCTTGTGAAAATCGCTCTATTCCCTTGGAATAATTTATAGTTCTCTCTGTGCTTTATGTCTTTAACCCGCACTCATATGCATCTGTTAGGTATTAGTACGTACAGTTGTTCGTAGAAGCAGGTCCTGGCCCTGGAAGTATTGACTATATTCTATGCTGACTTGACACAAGAAAGTAAATAGAGTCGCCTTAAAGCAGCAGTCCTCAAGCTTTGTGGCACCGGGGACCGGGACTCCCCTCTAACGCCTGAGGATCCGAGGCAGAGCTGAGGCAGTGATGCTGGCCCCGGGGAGCGGCTGCAGATGCAGACGAGGCTTCGCTCGCTGGCCCGCCGCTGCACTCCTGCTGTGCGGCCCGGTTCCTGATAGGCCACAGCGGTGCTGGTCCGCAGCCCGGGGTTGGGACCTCTGCATTAAAGGACTTGGAGGGCAGCATCATGCTACGTGCCTTCACTGAGGAGGTCCCTGGGGAGACGGGCTTGGAGCAGGACAGGAGGTGGCAGCTGAGCCCGTCTGGTTTATTTTTCCAGCGGCGGTGAAGAGAGAGTTTTGAGGCAGCTGGTTTTCCTCCCCCGCTCCAGAACCCTCGCTTCCCGTCTCTGTCGTTCTATGTCGTCCCGCAGCAGCGAGTGGTCCTGCCAGCATCCGAACAGCAATAGTGCGCCAGCACGAGGTTGTCCTGAAGACGGTTTACCCCCAGGCGGACAGCAGCCTCCGGAACATTCTGATGGAGCAGCTGGTCGCCCTGATCGATTGCTTCCTGGATGGTTACGTTTCTCAGCTGAAATCTCTGGACAAATCCAGTGATCAGGACAGATACGACAGCCTGGAAGTGGAGTACACGCAGAAGCGGCTGGATCTCCTATCCCCCCTCCGTAAGTGTGTGGCACCTGGCGAGGGCTCTGGGTCTTTCATTTGCAGAACGGATGAAGGGGTCACGTCGTCACCACACTGTAGCCAGTGAACCGTGGACCCAGCTGTGCCGAGAACTTAAAGCCAACCGTGCAGCTGTCTCTGTTCGTGTCTTCGGCCCGTTCTCATCCCGATGAGGAGCAGCGGCTTGTTTTGCTAGTATTTGGCGGGTGGGAGTAGCTTCTTAGAGGCAGTGAAGAAGCAAGGGACAGAATTTGCATCTTTAATGACTTTATATGAATGCGAAACCAAATGCCAGTATCTAGAAGGGTTTCTTTTCTATTCATTATTTTTAGTATATAATATGCATAAGGATAAAATTGCAAGTAGTATATTTTATTACACGTGACGTTTTCACCAACAGGATGTTTTCCATGTATTTTCATTTCCGTAGTCACCCTAGGCCAGTACACGTGGGCTGCTTCGTTAGCAGAAAAATACTGTGACTTTGATATCCTAGTCCAGATGTGCGAGCAGACCAACAACCAGACGAGGCTGCAGCGCTACATGACCCAGTTTGCTGATCAGGTAACGGACGCTGGGGACGGAGGTGGGGGACCCCGTGACGGATGTGGCCACTTCTGTGTCACGCGGGGTGTTTAGATGACGCAGTCTTGTTGTAGTTAACTTAGACACTAAGTTATGTGTTATGGTTCTTGGTTTTGGCAGATGATGCTTTATGTGTAAACATTACTGAAATATTCTTTGATCTTTGAAAAACGTTAAAACTTTCTGCTCTCGTGTTTTCAGTTATAATTAAAAGTACTTATGTACGTGAATATCAGTTGAGTTTTAAAAATTCGAATAGAAAGCCGTAGGCGCCTGGGGCGCTGCTCCGCAGACCTCCGATGCCCGCTCGCCTCCGGGTCCCGTTGTCCTTGTTTCGAATCTCGGCTCCCGTTTTAACGCAGCTCCCGTCCGACTCCGTGTGGGCGAGTTCGAGCTGCTCTTCAAAGCCAGCTTATTCAATCAGTCGATCTTCATGTAACAACTGATTTTTTTCTTCCTATAAAAGCGGCATTATATAAAATTCTGAAAATCCCTGTAAACAAAAAGATTTAAGCAAATCACTTAGAATCCCACCACCCAGCGGGAGCCCTTCCAAACACTTGGTTTGTATTTTACTCCGTGTTATTATAGACAAGCGCATCAGTCAACTGCCGGTTTGACTCACTGCATCACAGCCGTGTGCCTGTCCCGTGAAGTGCTGCACACCAGCATTTTATGATTTCACAGGCTGGGTGTAACATCCCGCATCTGATCAGTCGCTGGCTGTTGGGCGTGGCTGGTCTAGTGTTTGACAGTAGTGCTAAAATAAATACTTTCACAGCCATCATTTTTCTTCTTTTTATGGATTCTGGTTCCTCATTGGCATTTTCCATCCATTTTTTGCGTTGTCCCTTTTCTTTAATATGTTGAGTAGTTATTTTTAAGTTTTTTTGTACTATAAAACCTGATCGTTCCTAGGTCTGCTTTTCTTGCCTGCTTATTAGTCCTATTTTTGTTTATTATGTCTCGTGATTTTTTTATTGTGTTTTGGACATTGTGTATAAAACAACCATAACACTGGGGGTCTGTGCTGTTTCCCCGGGGGGCAAATAAGATGAGATGCAGGCCACTCATCGGCGTAGACCACCGTCGCCTCATCGGTGGGGGGAGGGGGATCCAGGGCCTGGTTGCAGTTTTCCTCGCATTCAAGTTTGGTTCCAAAGTCTGTGGGACTGGTGCGTCCACTGCAGGGTCCCCTGTAGGCAGACTGTCTCCTAGGAACTGTGAGACCGCAGGACATTGGTCTTCCTTTCCAGCCCAGGCCCTGCCCCAGCCCAGCCTTCAGCAGGCATCCTGCAGGGAAGGCTGGCTGGGCATGCAGAGCTTCCAGGCTCTGACGTTTCGTGCAGCTCACTTGGCCGTTTTACACAGATTCTACCTGAGAGCCTTTCATTCTGGAATGATCATCTCGGCCCTGTCCAGTAGAAAGAACTTTCTGTTGACAGTGGAGAGCTTGCTCACGCGTGCTGTCCCAAATGGGAGTCTCTAGCGCCCTATGGCAGCTGAGCACTTGAAATGTGGCTGGTGTGACGGAGGCACCCGACTGTTCAGTTTTAATCACATTTGAGCAGCTGCGTGGCTGGTGACCACCACACCCCCAGCACACGCCAGAGTCTGCGTGATCTCGAGCAGTGTGTCCCTTCTGAATCTGGCCTTGTTTGGCAAATGGGGTGATTGAATTAGGCAATTTTTGAGGGCCTTACAATATGGGAAATTAGTGTTTAAAGCAAGATTTGTATTCTGGAGTCGAAGAGCTTTGGAAGAAAGTGGATATTTTATTATCAGAAATGCATTTTTAAAACTGTATTGCTAAATGTCATTGGATTCTTGGCTCTGCCATTGATAGAATTTTTCAGACTTCCTCTTCCGCTGGTATCTGGAGAAGGGGAAGAGAGGCAAATTGCTGTCACAGCCCATTTCTCGGCACGGACAGCTGGCGAGTTTTCTGCAAGCTCACGAACATCTCAGCTGGCTGCATGAAATCAACAGCCAGGAATTGGAAAAGGTAAGGAGGATTCAGGTACACGAGAAAATTTGAGCAACTTTCAGTTTTAAATAGTTTTATTCTTAATAGTTAAAAAACTTATAGATTATTTTAAACGTGTCTCTCTTATTCATACATAATTTGAATATTCTTTATGTAGTCCATTGTGAGTTGACTCTTACAGTAACAAAAGCACAAAAAACTTATTAGCACATAAATAAGTCGGCCTGTTTTTGTAATGAACATTTTGCTATAATAGAAACGTTTACATTAGTAGTAGAAACAGTACACAAGTTAACTTTAAAGTTCCTGACAATGTTGAAGTGCCACGTGATGGTCACAGAGCAAATGTGTATTACGTGTCTCTCCCCATAGTGAGTGTGGGCGGCCGATACTGGGCAGTTGCTTTTCAGTGTGTGGGGCACGCCTCAGTTTTCAGATGTGCCGATACTGACTTGATCTTTCATTGATGGAGCTTTAGTGGGGGGGTGTTTGGGTCGTACTTGACCTTTATTTCAACTCGAATTAGTAACCAGGACCTTAACACGGTTCTCACGTTTTGTTTCTTCTAGGCACATGCAACGCTTCTGGGTTTGGCAAATTCGGAAACACGTTACTTCGCAAAGAAGAAAACCCTCCTTGGATTGAGTAAACTGGCCGCGTTAGCTTCGGACTTTCCAGAGCACGTGCTGCAGGAAAAAATCGAAGGTAAAAGAAGGGATTTGAGCAGCTCAGTCACGACGTCGGCAAGGTTCACGTGGTTTAGCGGGGAGGGCAGGTCGGCAGGTGGGCGGGTAGATGACGGAGCAAGCAGAAGCAGAAAACTGTTAACAGCTGAATACAGTCCTTTCGTAGTGTTTAGATTTCTCATAGGTTTGAGATTATTCGAAATAAAAATCGGAGGGGGGCTGTTAGCTCCGGGGGGCGGGGAAGAACACGTGACCATGGGAGTTTGGCCTCAGGGCCTGGCCGCGGAGCCCAGCCTCTAGTGTCCTTTACCTCCTCTGCGGAGTGGGCGCGGCGGGGGGAATCTGGACAGAACTGGTTTTTGCTTCTCCTAGAACATACTCCGGGTGGCTTCTAAACGGTCGTTTCCCGGGGCGGGTGGCATTCACTGAGCTGCCACGCAGTGGGGCCAAGAGACGCCAGATTTGGGGGACTGTGCCTGACCAGTCACCGTCCACTCTGCCGCTTCCAGCAGCAGAGCGGCTTCCTCCCCTCTCTGTCCCCCGCGACTGGTTCCGGCCGCTGCGATGATTCTCATGACTTGGCTGGACCCACGAGTATGTGGTTACGCCATCAGGACCCGGAACAGCAGAGTTAGTAACACTGCGGGGTCGTTCACTGGCGACCAGAGCTCTTTTTTAAATTCGGATTTGAGAAAAGCGAAAGTTTACCCCGCCCTCTCGTTTCGAATTCCAGAAATGGCCGAGCAGGAGCGATTTCTGCTGCACCAGGAGACGCTGCCCGAGCAGCTGCTGGCGGAGAGGCAGCTGAGTCTCAGTGCCATGCCCGTGCTGACAGCACCGCAGCTCATCAGCGTAAGTGCGGCCCAGCCCCCCGCCGTGCTGGGCTCCAAGCGCCAGTGCGGGCCCAGGCCTAGTGCCTGAGGGCGGCTCCACGCCCCTGCTCCTGGCACCCCGCTTGGAGTGAGCTGTTAGAAGCGGCGCGGGAGCAGGGCACCGGTTAGCAGAAGGGCGAGGGTCAGCCTCTGCTCATCCAGCAACCAGGGAAATGACTTGCAGTTTGCTTTGTCCATGTGGGACAGGTAGGTGCCATGAGATGCGTTTCAGACTCTTCTGTGAGAAGAATGGTGTACGGGCCTGGACGACGGCCCATGGGTGCCACCCTCACCCTCTTCCTCCGCAGCGCACTGGCCTGGGGCTGCGGCCCAGACCAGACTGTTCCACTGCTCCAGACGCCTGTAGTTTTAACGCTACTGCTTTCCTTTCAAGAAAGCGTTTTAAATGGAAGAGTCATGCCATAGGGTCCCGTGAGTTTGCTCTAATTGAAAAGAAAGGAAACAGCTCAAAAACATGAATATTATAGCTATTGTTAGCAACACATTCTGTGGTTGAGCTCACGGGCAGCCTCTGGAGATAGAATATTCAGTGTCAAAATCTGAGATGCTGTTGCTTGGAGAGTCACCGCTACTTTATGTATCAGAAAGAAGGAAAAAGTAGTGTCGGGTTTACGCGATACGATGTTAAGTTTAATGCCACGTGCCAAGTTCAGAGACGTGAGCGTTGTGGAGGAAGAGGAAGTTGAGAACAGTGACATGAGCGTTGTTTTTAAGTGCTAAGACAGAACAGGCAGACTTTCCCGAAGTGGCCTGAGTGTGGCCTTTGCTGCCAGAGGGTCTGTTCAGTCTTCCCAGCCGTTTCCCGTTTGCCCCGGGAAGACCCGCCCACAGCGCTCACCCGAGATCGCGTGGCTAAGCCTCAGCCCGAGCCACAGAGCTTGCCACGGAACAGCTCGCTCCGGTACATCAATAGTCCTTGGAAGTGACAGATGATGTCATTCTATTTGTAGCATTCTGTTTTTAGCAGTTCGATCGCTGAAAATGTCAAATCCTAGAAAACGTGTCTTTCCTACACGTGATGATGAACGCTGGCAGCGAGCTGCATTTTTTTTTTTCTAAACGGGAAATGGGTTAAAATGAAGTTTGTTCTATTATAAATGGTCATTATGTAAAGGATATAGGAAAATTCAAACTGGTGTTTTTTAACAAGGCGAGTGTCTTCACGATGATAAAATTACAGAAAGCTTGAAGAACACGGAAGTGAGTGTATAGGCAGCTGCGATCTAACCAGCCCCAGATGAATCGGTGGCGTGTTGACATATGTTTTTGTATCTTTTAAGTAAACTAGACTAGCTTCGTGCTTTGTCACAGATCTCAGTTTTTAAAACCTTTCGAAAGGGCTTTACAAAGGCAAGGGCAGCAGTTTCCCGCAGGGAATATGCTTAGAAGGATACGGGGGTGTGTGCGCTGTCTGAACCCGAGACCGCAGACCCGCGGACGTTCTGAAGGTTTACGTCCCAGGTCGTTGGCATTAGTCACTGATAGAGCAGAGGCCGCTTTTAAAGGTGGCTTCCCGTGAGGTGGCGGCTGTCGCGCCCGAACGCGACTCCAGTCTTCACCGCGAGAATGCCTGCGGCTGACGGGGAAGACGGTGTCTCCGCATAGTGTCTGCTGTCGTGCCTGAGCCCCCCCTTACACGGTCCCTCTTGTTTTGACTTGCTGTGTAGCTGTATGTCTGCGAAGAAAACAGAAGAGCTAATGAGTACGACTTCAAGAAAGCTCTGGACTTGCTGGAATACATCGACGAGGTAAGCGACATCGCCGAGGTGAGCGGCATCGACGAGGTGAGCGGCATCGCCCGAGACGGCTGCTGCTCGGACCAGCGTCGTAGCGTGTTCTGCAGAACTGATGAAAGGAAAGAGGAGGGACAGATACCTCCTGTAGCCAGTCGTGAAATGTGTCAGTTAAAATAGACGGTCTGGTTTGGTGGCCGTACTCTTGGATTACGTCCAGCTCTTTGGAAAAGCCTGTCAGGTGACCCCACTTCCTGATCACCCCACATCCCAGGCGTCTTCTCCGTATGTGAATGCAGGGCGCTGCTTCTCGGAGTCCTGGTGTGTCGCTCGCTCTTGTTATCAAGTCGCTATTGATCCCTCTGATACGTTGTTACTCTGTCAAGTCGTTCTTGATGGACGTCACGCGAGAGAAACCGTTGCTCAGCTTTCTTTGAAGAAAAAGATGATAGTGAAAATCCTGTCGATGAGTGAAAGTATCTGGTGGATTTTAAAGCCTGACGTGTTGGCTTTTACGTCACTTGTTTAAGGCTCTGGGTAAAGTCGCGTCACCAAAGGGTCACCAGAAAGTAATTCCCCCATCATCCGTGTGCTGGCTAGTCTGCATAGTGTCCACGTGTCCAAGGAGAGAAAATTTTTTAATTTATGGATTAAAGTAAAGCAGTAATCGCGTAGACTTATATACCTAGAATTGGGAGTCGACATAAGTCGGATTCGAGCACGCACTTTTTAAAGTCTCACTCAGTGCAGATTCTTTGCTTTGCTGTGAAGGAGGAAGATGTGGACATAAATGACCTGAAGCTGGAGGTCCTCTGCCGAGCTCTGCGGAGGGACAAGTAAGTTCTGACGGGCTGGGGCGCGGGCGGCATCAGGGGCCGGTAACCGCCTGTGTCGTCAGTCACCTTAACTGCTTCGCTCAGTGGTTCAAGAACAGCCTGAGGCCTAGGACCACTGGCGTGGTCATCTCTATTTTTAAATTCAGACAGTTTGCCCGGAGATACGTGTCCTGTTTTCACGGAAGTAGGGCCAGCTCTACCGAACAAGGCACAAGGCTACCTTTTTCTATTTCTAATGAGACATCGTCGCGATGGGGGGCCCAGTGCCCTCTTCTGCGTTCCTGCGGCCTCCCTCCCACATCTGTCCCATGCCCTCAGGGGAGGGTTTTGTCCACGGGCGCGGTGGCGCTAGGTGGCGTTAGGAGCAATTGGTCGTAGGGCTGGATCATTTTCAGGAGGAGAGTTTTAGGAGGTCGTGACACAGCCTCCCCCGCTCGGTCCCCGCTCCCGTGGTGCGGGCAGGTGCAGCGGGGCGGGCGTTACCCAGCGTCTCTCCCTCCAGTCACCCAGGCAGTTAAAGTCGTTGTCGACATGTTAGGAGCTTAGTACGTGGACAGTGTTAGACCGGAGGAGAGAGATTTTGCATATTTTACACATAAACGCAAGTCATTGGGAGCTTCCAGTTTCCTGCTCGCTTCTCCTTCCTAACCTTAAAAGCACGCTGTCATTTGACTGGAATTCCCGGCTTTTGTCCCTGATCTCATTGTCACCTCACAGTGATTTTGTTTTCTAGCTGGTCCAGCTCAGATGGCAAAGATGATCCAATTGAAGTATCTAAAGACAGCATATTTGTGAAAATATTACAGAAGCTTTTGAAAGACGGTGAGTGCCTCGTTACCATTGAGCATGGCCGGTCGTGCTCATGCGGGAGCTCGTGCGGGAGCTCTGCGGAAGTGGAAGCTGACCCTGTGTTTTGTCCGCAGGCGTTCAGCTCCGCGAGTACCTGCCGGAGGTGGGAGACCTGCTCCAGGCGGACCAGCTGGGAAGCCTGAAGTCCAACCCCTACTTCGAGTTTGTTTTGAAAGCGAATTACGAGTATTATGTCCAGGGACAAATGTAACTTTTTCGAAAAATGGCCCTCGTTCCTGAAAATTTGCATAAGCACGGCCTTATGACGTTGCCGAGCGTTTCGCACTGCACCTGAAGCCGCTGCGGCCTGCGTGGCCGCTGTTGGTTTCCAGTCCGTGGTATTTCCTCCTCCTCCCATCTGAGCCACATCGGTCGTTTCCGTCCTTGATGCCCTCTTGCCCTCCCTCCGCCCAGGGCTCTGTAGTTCTCGCCCTGGTGCTGGCACATGTCACTTCAGGGCTTCAGTTCCTGTGACTCAGTAAATGATGGAATTGTGCTGGATTCTCTCTGAACTTGCTGTGCCCGGGCATTGTGCACTGAGCAGAACCTGAGCGTTTGGCGTCGAGTCTGGTTAAGGCTGTGGGACACGCTAGCAAGCTGGACGTCAGCCTTTGCTAAATTACAGGAATGAAAGACAAACAGGGCCTGATCCACCTGAGCTTGGTTACTGGGTCATTCGTCGGGGGAATTTTAAACTTCTACATAGCGGTAAGACTATTAATGGAAGTATCTCAGTGAATAAAACATTTCTGTGGCTTTCTGACCTGAGTGACCGCAGGTACGTTCATCATACGAGCTGAGTCGCAGCCTTTCGGTTTGGGGACCTGGGCTGCTTCGTGCCTTCAGGGCGATTCACACTGGTTCCCGCCAGTGCTCGGCCCACGTAAATCTGGAAACCACTATAGCTGAGCTCACGGCAAAGCCGCGGTTCCCAGAGCTGCTCCGTCTGGGGCGGTATCGCCACTCGGTTTTCATCTGGCTTCGAGGAGCAGGCGCGGGCGTGGACAGGCCCGCAGTCCCGCGGTGAGGAGGGCCCGGCCCCTGGTTTCAGCGTGCCACCGTCTGCGCGTCCCCTCCCGGGCAGACGGAGCCTTCGAGCGTGCTCGCTGGGATGGGGAGGGACGCCAGGGCTGCCCTGCATGGCTGCGGCTCGGGCACAGGGACAGCTTAGTGTGCGAAGGCCCCGAGCAGTGGGGAGGACTTGTCATGTGGCCCATAGGGAACGGCGGTGACCGTGGAAATCAGCCCAAGCTTTTGAATTTTTTTCTTCTAAATTTTTTAAAATGCGTTCCACCGCACAGCCTTCGTCGGAGCACGGCCTCTTTCCGCAGGTTACTCGGCTTACGCAGTGGACAGGACGGCGTGACGGTGACCCCGTGTGGGAGGGCAGCTCTGCATTCCCGTGTGCGCGGGGACGGCCACCCTCTGACCAGGTCGTGCTGCCGAAGACGGCTCGGACGAGCTGGCTTGTGCTGCTTCCCTCTGGGGTCTGAATCCTGGTGGCCGGCGGGGCGCGGCCCCCCAGACCTGCTTCTCATTCTGTCCTAATCCAGTGCACTGGGCGTGCCGCGGCCAACCACAGAGTCGTGTGGCCGTGGCCGGCGGGGCAGGGCCCCCCAGACCTGCTTCTCATTCTGTCCTAACCCAGCCGCAGAGTCATGTGGTCCAGCCTCCCCTACTCCCTCGGGACACCCCGCGGGAGAGTGCCCCAGGAGGCCGTAGCCTTACCGGCTGTGATGCACAGCCAGCCACTCAGCACCGCAGTGCATTTCTAAAAGCCAGACTCCAAAATTTAAAAAAATACTGTACGAAACGTTAAACCCATTTTTTTCAAAAAAAGTGTACAAGAGAAAAGAAACCCCTGTAAACGCAGCAGGCAGAAGTAGCGTCAGTTGCCACTTTGAAACACCTGAGACGGGTGTGGACAGTGGGAGGTCCATTGTCCACGGGTGTGGACAGTGCTTGCTGCTGTAGTTTGAAGGAGGAGAGAGCAGCCCCCGCCTGCTTGCGGGTGACGGGAGGGCCACCCAGGCGACCCTGCGGGACCACGTGCGTCATCCAGCTCACTGAGCGTGGTCCTCTCATGTCCAGGCGAGTGGTGGTGCCCATAACACGTAGGGCGCAGCGTCGGTGGGGACGGGGGCGTGTAAAGTGTTTTCCGCACTTACGCTTAAATTGCTGGCAGTGTGATAGATGCTGCACAGACTGAGCACGATTTGGGGTGCACAGGGGTGTGAGGACCAGAGGGGACAAGTCTGGAGAGAAGGGAGGTGTGAGCAAAGGGCCTGTCACCATCAGAGCTGCGGCTGCACCTGCACACCTGGAGGCCTCACCTGCATACCTGGAGGCCGGAGCTCCGCGGAGCCGTTGTTGGCCACCGTCTGAGGACGCGCAGGAGTCACCCGCTACTCAGCAGCACCGGTGTGGTCCCCAAAGGCATGCGTGCGTGGAGGTGGCTCGTCCACCTGCTCGTGAGGTCGGCTCCCCAAGCCGGTGAGAGTGCAAGGCCAGGCGGGCTGGAAGCCGCCCCTCCCGACCCGCACAGCCTGGGAGCCGCCTGCCTGCCGGTGGGGAGAGCGGATGTCCGCCCCGCCCCGCCCCGCATCCACGGTCCCCGGTCTGTGCACCGGCAAGTCTCGGTGGCTGTTTCTATGCACAGCTTTCACCGTGTTCGGATCGATGAGACTGAGCTCAGAAAGCTTCGCTTTTTGCATTGAGCAAGAGTTCTGGAAAACGTTTACCCCGCTCCCCTTGAAATGTCAACGGACTATCAGACATTTAGTGTTTGACAGCACGTTTCTCTCCACCTCCAAGGCCAGAATTCGAGCTGTTCCCCTCTACGGAGCAGCTAGTGCGTTTGCCAGCCTGTGTTTTTTCTAGTGTCTCCACTCCCCACTGACACAGGACTCAGGTATCACAGATGTAGTTCTGTCTGTCACCGAAACTGACGAAGCTACATAGCGTAGTGGTCAGCATGTCTGCTTTACACGCAGAAGGTCCTGGGTTCAAGCTCCAGGTGGAGCCACGGACCATACCCCGGGCGTGCCAGGCCCTGGGTGTGCGCCGTGAGCGCGTGGGAGGAGACGCCCCGCCTTCAGAGATCCAGTAGTTGAGGGGAGACCCAACATCCATGGGTCAGGAGTGGAAGGGGCGGGGGGTGGATTAAAGGGAGGGAAAAAAGAAAAAGCTACATATAAAAGAGGCTGGTGGCTTTTAACGGACCCCTTGTGCTCCCTGCAGTGACCACGCTCCCGGTTTTCTCACGGACTTGGGCCGTGTGTAGGAAGTGCCTCTGTGTCCTGGGCTCCTGGGGGAGGGCTGCACGTGCCTCCGTGAGCCTTGGGGACCCACCTGCCCCCCGCTGAGTTCCACCCCCACATGGGAATTGCAGCCATTAGGGACACTTGGGCACATCAGAAAAAGGAAGGACCCCGTTCTGACCTGCACCACATCACAATGTACCCTGAAGCATGTCACTGAGCCCATCACAAAAGCCTGCAGCAAGGTTGCACTGCTCTTGGACTGGGGGAAAATGGGACACGGGCACCAGCTGGGTGACCTGTGACTCCCACGGCACCTTACCGTAAGTAGATCCAAATGCTTCTAGAAACTGTCAGGCACATCCCCCCGTGGTATAAATAGAAGCGCTCCGTGGGGCTGGGAGATGGTGACTCTACCCCTGGGCGAAAGCAGCCTGGCCTTGGCCGGGCATCAGCCTCTAAATATAAAGATGAGTTTGTCGCGCCTTCGCGGAGGGAAAACTGCTGGCCATCCCAGGGTGCGGTGTCCCTGTCCTGTCTAAGCACCTCCTCTCCAGGTCGTGGCTTGTGAACCTCACCTTTCAGCCCCATGAGGACGCGGGGGTAGGGCGCTCAGCTCGGGCCGCGGTGACCTGGGCGGCAAGAGAACGCCCGGTAAAATTCACTGCTTCACGACCCCGAGCACGCGGCATGCCACCCAGGCGGGCAGTTCGAGTGCCCTGGCTTTGTGCCCTGCGCTGTCGAAGCCACTGCCCAGTCTGTCCCCGGGAGCCCCGAGCCCCCTCCCCGCCCGCTGCCAGTTGTCGGCCCCAGGACAGCTGCCGCCGCCCCGCTGCGGTGGGGGTGGGGGCCGGCTTGGGTCAGCCCTCTGAACTCGGGGAGCTCAGGGGTGGGGAGGGGGAAGGTCGCTTTCCTCCCCTGCCCGGGATGCAGGCGCGACTGCCTCTCCACCGGTCTGGGCCCGCTAGGACGTGGCCTCCTCCTCCCGCAGGTGCACGCAAAGGTTTGGGGTCTGGGCCAAGGACCCAGAGCAGGGCTGAGACGTGGGAGGCGCGGCCGCAGCGCTTAGTGCGCGCGGGGCCGACAGGTGCAGCTCCCGGGGCGCAGGCGCACAGGCGCGGCCGCGGGCGCAAGCGGTGACCCTCGCCTCACCCCGCCCCTCCGGCGGGCAGCAGAGCCGGGTCGGGAGGGGCCGACCTGCAGGGGAGACACGCCATATACGGCCCGGCCCGCGTTACCTGAGCCCGGGCCAGGCCGCTCCTTCTTTGGTCAGCATAGGGGACCCGGGCGGGGGCCCAGGCCGCGAATTGGCCGGGGGAGGGGTCTCTAGTGCCCAACATCCAAATATGGCTCGAGAAGGGGAGCGACATTCCTGCGGGCGGCGCTGGGGGGGTGGGGCACCGGCGGGCTATATAAAACTTGAGCGGAGGGACCGGCGGCCACCGCAGTGGACAGCGCGGAAAGAATCCTCGCTTTCCTCCCGCCGCGACCGGGGCCCTAGACGGAGAGCAGCAGGTGTAGCCGCCCGCCCAGGTGGGGAAGGGACAGGGAGACAGGGCCCAACGAATTCACTTGACCAGACCCAGGTCTGCGCCCCGGGGTTCCCAGAGCCACAGACGCCTTAAAGAGGGGACAAGAGACAATCTGCCTTTGGAAACGTCTCTCAATTTGTCCCCTGGGGGGCTGCTCCACTTGGCACTTAGTACACGGCCCGGTGCTCGAAAGGTTTTGTTTTAGTCCGTCCCCGGGCAACTCCCTTTCGCCCGCGCGCCAGAGCCAAGGGACAGCAAGGGCCACTACTACTCCCGGCTCACCATCCCCAGGAGGGGGCCTCTGCGGGGAGTCTGGAATCTCGTGGCTACCGAAGAAGCCACTCCTCCCTCGGGGCGCGCCACAGCTTCTCCCACGGCCTCTTCCACCCTCAGCCGGCCCAGCGAGCCGCATAGTGGGCCTTCTCCCAGGGGAGGCCACCGAGGTGCGCAGAGAGTGAGCGCTGGCCCTGGCTCCGCGGCAGGTGGCCTGAAGCAAAGGCACAGCGGTGTCTGGGGCACTGTGCTCTGGGGTCCCGGGATGGAGAAGCTCTCAGTGGGGTCTCTATGACCCCGTGCCACTCTCCCAGGCGTGGCGCAGCCCTGCGCCCAGTAGCACAGCTGGCGGCCGGTCGCCTTGGCGCTCCCTGCCCTGACGCCAGGCTCGGGAGACGGCTGTCCTAGGTCCTGGGGACGGAGGGCGCTTGGGTCGGAGGGGCGTTCTCCACTCACGGCCCACCGTTCGTCTCCGTGGCCTTCCTGTCCTTGCAGAAACCAAACACCATGTGCGACGAAGACGAGACCACCGCCCTCGTGTGCGACAATGGCTCCGGCCTGGTGAAAGCCGGCTTCGCCGGCGACGACGCCCCCAGGGCCGTGTTCCCGTCCATCGTGGGCCGCCCTCGCCACCAGGTCAGACTGCGCCTGCGCCGAGGGTGCGGGCCGGGGACCCCGCGTGGCCCAGCGCTGCGCCTCCCTGAGCCGCCGTGACGAGTGCGCGGTGCGCGCTGTCTCCTCCGCAGGGCGTCATGGTGGGCATGGGGCAGAAGGACTCCTACGTGGGCGACGAGGCTCAGAGCAAGAGAGGCATCTTAACCCTGAAGTACCCCATCGAGCACGGCATCATCACCAACTGGGACGACATGGAGAAGATCTGGCACCACACTTTCTACAACGAGCTCCGCGTGGCCCCCGAGGAGCACCCCACCCTGCTCACCGAGGCTCCCCTCAACCCCAAGGCCAACCGCGAGAAGATGACCCAGATCATGTTTGAGACCTTCAACGTGCCCGCCATGTACGTGGCCATCCAGGCCGTGCTGTCCCTCTACGCCTCCGGCAGGACCACCGGTAAGTGCGCGCCACCGGGCCGCGCGCGCGCCTCGCGCGCTCCGCCCCAGGGCCGGCCTGCTGCGCCCGCAGCGGTCTGGAGGCGGCGAGGCACTCAGTCCCCCGGCGTCCCTGCCCTTTCCCCGCGCAGGCATCGTGCTGGACTCCGGAGACGGTGTCACCCACAACGTGCCCATTTATGAGGGCTACGCCCTGCCGCACGCCATCATGCGCCTGGACCTGGCGGGCCGCGACCTCACTGACTATCTG